CCGTAACGTCGGAAGAGCCGGGAGCAATTTCCGGTGGCTTTTGTGCGCCCTTTAAAAACGCGAGCTACTGGCAATGCCGGGAGGGCGGAGAAAAAGGGGTAGCGAGGAGAGGTCGGAGTTTTGTGAATGTACGTACGAGTGGTTCTTCTGGACCAACAAATCCCTGGCCGAAGGAGGGAGGAAAGTCGAGAGGTTAACTGCAGGTCCTTACGCGTTCTTCCTCTCCATTCGCGTGCTTTATATTTCGCTTTTCCTTCGTTGCCTTCTGATCCGCGTTTATCTCCTAATACGATCTCGAGTCCAACCTGGGGGCGTATTTCCGAATGACTCTGATAATGAGGAAAATTTCAATAACAGTGAATGCCAGCATGTTCGGGTTAACGCGTTCCACATCAACCGATTTACCTTCACGCTAATTTCTGAGCTGTATTGTTCCACTCGAGTACTTGAAGTACTCGAGGATGAATGTGCACGATTATTTTCTGTAGTCTTGGGAGTCACTTCGAATAATTGTAGGTCGAAAATGGTTGTCTATCTTTTTTGTTTTCACTTCGTATTCTTTTCAAGGGACTTCTTGTCATATTTGCACAATATTGAAGAAGAAATATCTAATTATCTATTATGGTAATATATTGTAAACTATATAATTCAGAATGACAATGTCATATTTTAAACATGTGACATATGTTTGATGTGTGACTTCAAATATGTAACATGTGGAACATATGACGATGGTACATTTAACTTACCTCAATACTTCTATAAATACTCCTTAATTTTGGCTAATTTTATTTTAGTTAATATTTAAAACATGTAACATATGTGTAATGTGTGAATTCAAACAGGTAACATGTATAACATATGACAATGTTACATTTAACTTACCTCGATAGTTCTATAAATACTGGTTGATTTTAGCTAATATTATTTCAGTTCATTTCACTTAACATTAGCTAATTTTTGTTTATTTTAGATAATTAATTAATTTTAATTCGTTTCACTTATCTTACCTTAATGTTAGTTAATTTTGTTTAACTTTTTTTGATTTTATTTAATCGTAATCAATTTCATTTAATTACAATAAACTTTGGTTACTTGTATCTAATTTTTCTTAATAGTAATTCATTTATTTAACGTTCGTTGATTAACATGAACTCTAATTCATGTAACCTGACCTTAAATCAAGTAAATTTTTAAATGTTACGAAAATGTATTTCAATTAAAGTACCACTCGTTAAATAACCGTTTTAATCAATTTAATTTGATTATAATAAACTTTGGTTACTTGCATCTAATTTTGTTTAATAGAAATTCATTTTATTTAACGTTCGTTGATTAACATAAATTCCAATTCATGTAACCTGACCTTAAATCAAGTAAATTTTAAAATGTGACAAAAATGTATTTCAATTAAAGTACCACTCGTTAAATAACCGTTTTAATCAATTTAATTTAATTATAATAAACTTTGGTTACTTGCATCTAATTTTCCTTACTAGTAATTCATTTATTTAACGTTCGTTGATTAACATAAATTCTAATTCATGTTACCTGACCTTAAATCAAGTAAATTTTAAAATGTGACAAAAATGTATTTCAATTAAATTACCACTCGTAAAATAACCATCTCATAAACCTTATAAACACCTTCAAATTCTATGATACAAAAGTGTACATAAAAAACGTCCTACGACATAACCTCGAAAAATTGTAATCCCTGAAACAGTCGTTACAATTATAGTACCAGAATACGTTTGTCCAAGTGGAAAAGTTATATCCGTATCTTCCCACAAATTTATTTATCTACCGGCAGTTTTTCGTGTTATCATTGGACGTTATAATGCTCCCGATACGATTCGTCTCCAGGGAACTATCGAAGAAGAAAGAACCGTTTCTTCCATACTTTTTGTTCCAATCGAATACGCGTTTATATTATGTGTAACGTACATATTCCATTATGTAGAGCAAAGGAAATATTATTTCTAAGAGACCGCAGCCTCTTCTCCTTGTTACGTATACATGGAAACATTAGAATTTAAATGCCGACTGCTCCTCGCATTTCCTTACACATAGCTTGCTTTTAAATTCTATCTATTTTCGACTATCGATCGTAATAATGCATGCCGGTGAACTTCAATAAAATTTTCTTCTATTTGTTTTATCGCTATTCACGCAATTGTTATCGCAATTCACGTTAGAAAATACGTTAGTATTCCTCACATTCGACGAACAAAAGTTTGCTATTTTTGAAAGTCGAGTAAACGGCGTTCTCGTGGCAGAATGCCACTGGTCTAGGGGATTTTAACGCTCGAAATCGTGGCAAGGAGATTTCATCGACTCGCAGGAACACGACACCAACTGTTTAATCGCTCGTGCTCAGATGTTTATCCGGTTGTAAATAAAATACGTAGTGTAAATACATCGTGTAGTCTGTCAGATCATATGATTTATGATCACTCTGCAGACTTTGATACGCAGTCGTTCCTCAGCAAATTGCAATTAATTTCTTCCTTGTTCGTTTTATTTCGCATGATACGATTAAAATTTCTCAGTCACATGAAAAATATTTGATAACCGCTAGAATTAATAAAAGTCGTCATGCATTTAATAACACTGGTGTTAAATTGGTATTAATATAAATAGTATTATATTAACATTTATATATTTATATTATTAATGTACATAAATGTATGTAAACATGATACATACATGTGGTGTTTAGAGAAATATATGAACGTTTCAAGAAGAAAATGATGGACCCCATTTTTTAATTTTTCTTTAAATTTCGACAGAGAGATAAAAAGGTAGAGTGAAAAGATAAAAATAAATTAGCATAATAGCACTTTACACGTAACTTTTTCTTAAATTTATATATGTTCACATATGTGTATTATTCATTTTAAAAATCAGCTTCAATTTCAATGTAGCCAATTTAAAAATCTATACATTTGAAAGCATACGACTTCACTTAAAAACATAAATTATTAAAAATAAAAAAATTCAAAAACTTGAAAATTCTAAAATTCTCAAGTTTAGCTCCATACGTCTCATGCAAAAGAACCGTTTCCCAAAAGCGCACGCGCAGTGCCATTAAACGCGCAACAGCGTTAAAATGTAGCGAAGTGCATGAGCCAAGAAACTTTTTGGCAGTCGTTGATCCGCGTTAATAGATAGCATATCCATTGCTGCGAAGAAGGCCGGTAGTAGCGCTTTTCCCATTACGGGTTCGGTCGATTTTACGCGTAGTAGGATATATACATACATCAAGCACGCACACGTGCGTAGTTCTTTCCCAGGGACAGAATCCGACCCTTAGTACCTTCGAGAGCATCCGCCAGCTCGGCCGTGTCCCGGTTTTCTTTCTTTTTCGGGGACACCAACATGGGGCTCTAGAAAGCGCTCACGCGCTTCTTTGATTGGCCGAATGCTATGGGGTTTCATCGATATAAGACAAGATAGAGCGAGAGGCACGATCGAGATGACAAGGACGCGGCGATCGAAGGACTCGGTTAGAAAGAAAGACAGAGGGTGAATTACAAGGACAGGGGGTGGAGTAGAAAGGGACGAAAGATGGGTTGGGCAACAAAGAGAAAGAAACGCATAAAGCAGAGAAAGAGAGAGAGAAAGGCATATATCGGCTGGTACGAGGGTGCGTGGGCTTTCTCTCAGAGGGTGCGTAGAATCAAAAGGGGGGACATCGAAAGGAGAAAGGGCCGACGGGGTTGCAGAGGGGCGAGGGCTACGGGGATCGGTGCTGGTAGGGGGATAGGAGGAAGAAGGGGGATGGCGGTC